TCAGTGACTTCTCCCATCTCCTCAGTACATACCCTCAGTGACTTCTCCCATCTCAGTGACTTCTCCCATCTCCTCAGAGGCCCCCACTGTTGTAAACATTTTTCCACAATAGAAGTCTTTTGACTTCCTGATTCAAACAAATAAACCTCTCTCTGAAAATATCCACTCAATGTGCAGCAGCAATCAAAAAAACAAATAGAATGTTAGGAATCATTAAGGAAGTGATACATAATAAGACAGAAAATATCATATTGCCTCTATAAATCCATGGTAAGCCCACATATCTTGAACACCGTGCGCAGATGTGGTCACCCCATATCAAAAAAGATATATTGGAATTGGAAAAGGTTCAGAAAGGGGCAACAAAAATCATTAGGCATATGGAATGGCAAATAAAGACGAGATAAAGACGACTGGGACTTTTCAGGTTGGAAAAGAGATGACTAAGGAGGGATATGATAGAGGTCTATAAAATCATGCCTGATATGGAAAAAGAAAGTAAGGACAAGTTATTTACTCCTTCCCATTAAGGATGTTAAGAGGCAGTATTTGGTTAATTGTGCAGTCAATACAAATTGTATTAACTTCACAATTAATTGATAAGGAATGCGCTCTGTCCCAGCTCAAACCAGGTGCAAGAGCTACCCCCACTTCGGCTTTATAGATTAAATACAGTAAGAGCCGGGTGTGGCGTAGTGGGGGTGCTGTCTGCTCTGAGACCCGGGGTCCCCCTGAGCTGTGATGTGAGATTCTCACTGACTCTCCCAAATGTGTATTAACCCAGACACCCAGGCTCAGCCTCCCAGGGAGAGAGACAAAGGGAGGAAGGCAGAGACCAACACCTGGCTATGGGGCAGGGCTGGAAGAGAGGTGGAGTTTCTGTCTGGGAAGCAGGGGAGAAGGGGCTAGGATTTTAGGGTCCAGCCACCCCCATCTCAAGGGGGGGCCTGGCCCCCGTTCCTATAACCAGATTACATCTGTGCTGTATCTGGGAGAAGCAATAAACTCTCTCAATCCTACTGACTGGCGGAGTCTGTTCGTGCCACTACGGGAGTGCAGGACACGGGAAACCCCAACGCGCTGTCACACCGGGCATACAGGCAGCCTGGCTCCTACTTCATTTAAAATGCAGAGCCACAGTGGTCCCAGATGTGGCACAAGCTGGGAATGTTCAGTCCCAGCTCGTGCCAGGTCTAGCAGCCCCTGTCCGCAGGGGTCCCAGCTCCCAATGGGACTCCCTACAGACATGGGCTGCTCTGCAGGATGCGAAGCAACCTCTGCTCATGGTGAGCCTGAGCCCACCGCAGGCAGAGGCTGCTTCACAGCACCCTCTCCTGACCTGCCCCCATGCTCCGCAGAGATGATGCTGGGGGGAAGGGGCTTTTAAGCTGGCTCCCGCTTTCCCCTCTCCCCCTTGCTGCCTCTGATACGAAGGCAGCGGGGGTGGGGGGCAGGAAGTGAGTAGTCAACTATTCGACTAGTCGCTTACATCCCTATTTCCCATAACAGTAGGGTTACCAAATGAACTAAGGGCACCAAACGAAATTAATAGGCAGCAGGTTTTAAACAAACAAAAGGAAGTATTTCTTCATATAATGCCAAGTCAATCTGTGGAATATCCTACTAAAGGATGTTATGAAGGCCTGGACTATAACAGAGTTAAAAAAAAAAAAGAGTTAAATAAATTCATGGAGGATGGTCTACCAATGACCATTAACTAGGATGGGCAGGGATGATGTCTCTACTGTCTGCTTGTTGGAACTGGTAATGAACAACAGCGAATGGATCATCTTTTCTGTTCATTTCCTCTGGGGCAGCTGGTACTGGCCAATGTCAGAAGAGAGGATACTGGGCTAAATGGACCTTTGGTCCGATTCAGTATGGCCGTTACTATGTACCCTTTTTGATAATTTTAACTGCATAACTTCAGTACACATTAACATTATTTTAATAACATGAACAAATTTGCTTCTGGCTTCAGACCATGTGCACAGAATTAACATGTTCAGTTACTGTATAAACCCTATGAAACAGTAATCTGTTGTACACTGGAGCCATAACTGCAAACAATTTTATAACCATAACTACGGATTGTAAGCACAAATAAAAACATTTGGTACGTAAGCATTTGTCAATTGTATTTAGTTGACGTATCATCATACTTCTCAAAAGTTGTGAACACACAAACTTTGAGTTTTCCTATCATCAAAATATACCATTTCTTTTAAGTTCTACTGAAACTGTAACTGATTATTACATTTCCATTGAAATTGACAATGTCTACAGAGATGCATGCTAAGACTAGCAAGAAAGTTAATACAGAGTCTGATTCCGCAATCCCTGCTGAAGTGGACTAATTTACCAAAATCGTCTCAGTGTAAGAAATACAGAATTGAGTAAGTAGTTTGCCTGCAGATGACTGAGAGGAAGATGCTTCCTCCTTTGTAGTAACCTGCAATGAACCTTTAACAAGAGGAAGCTGAGCAACTAACTGCCTTCTCATTTGGAGAATTATTGCAGGAGAAAACAGGCCCGACAAGTTAACTTCAGAGCCAAATTAAATGGCTGTGTTCACAGTATATCATCAAAGAACATAGGATACTAATGTATTAAAGTATACAAAAATAGCTGTATATGCTTACTACTGCATGTGCCTCTTTTTATCCTTTTTCCGACTCAGTAAACTAAACTGCTGAAATATAATTTTGCGACAGATGCTTTTTTTATAAAAATACAAATATTTACAACCATCTTTTTGTTACTGTGATAGAACAGATCACGTACTTTCTTAAGAGACAAAGCAACTTTGCAAATGGCACAAATGTTTCCTCCAAGGAGAAGTCTTATATATCCAAAGAACTTGGCTCCCCATTCAGCAAAGGTGGCAAGCATATGCTTCCATCAAAATTTAAGATGTCAAAGGGTATGTAAAGTATGAAAAAAGAAACACATTATTTAAAAAGAGACTACGTATCAACTATCTGCATTTACTTAGTCATTTGTCGGCAACTGTCTTTTGACAGTTACCTCCATGAATTTGCCATAAATGGGACATGCACAGCAGAGTCCAGATGATTTGTAACTTAATTGCAAAACAAATGACTTCACTGAAATCACTGTGCCATAAAGTTTGTTTTATTGCAATAATAATAAAACTATGCAACATCCCGTCAGCCACAGACAACTTTCGAGGCAACCCGTATCCCCATAAGAGATATTGCACTATGAAGCACAAGGTTCACATACCAGTAAGAAAGAACAATCCTGAAAAGTATCCAACCCAAATCAGATTTTGAGATATCCCATTAAAATACTTCCAGATGGAAGTATAAAATTACAAATGTATGGAATCTTGAGAACATATTCATCTGTACACAAAAATAGATGTGTCTTCAAGATTATATACATTTGTTCCAGCACTTAAACACATTCAGAAGTTTTCTTGCTACCTTCTTATTAAGTCCAAAAAATAGTCCCCCCTTTTCGTGAGCTCTATCAAGAATTATAAATTGTTCCTAAACAACTCAAAAGGCCACCTGAGGCCCAGAAACTTATAATGGAGAGCTTTAATATACAAAGGTTGCCATTAACAAGTCAGCATTTGCAATAAGTTTCCCCACACACATATTTCTGTATTTATAGTGGGTCATAACTATAACATGATTGTTGGAAAATATTAATTTAACTGACAACCAGTGAGTATGTAATATACACACACTTTCCCCTTACATCAGGGTTACCAGAATAATGCTCTGAAACGTCACTGCACTGCTACTCCCTCGTGACAAAAGTAACTTAGGGGGGAACCTAAGCCTGAGTCTGTCTCAACCTCAACAACCCAAAGTGAGGGGGCCCAAGCCTTCATCCCAAATCACGGGCTGTAACCTGATCCCCAACATCCCAGGCTTGAGACCTTGGGCTTCAGCTTTGGATCCAGATGGTGGGGCTCAGGCTTGGGCTCTGGCCCTAGACACCAGCAAATCCAAGCCAGTCCTCGTGACTCCATTAAAATGGGGTTGTGACCCACTCTGGGGTCCTGATGTAAAGTTTGAGAACCACTGCTCTAAAAGTTCGTTGTAAAACCTAGCACATCTTACATTTACCAATTGCCACATCTTGCCTGAGGAGGTAACTAATATCATAGACTTATTTATGAATTTTCTGATTCTTTGCAGAGTACGATGCCTTTGGGCATACTGGATCCAACCCTCTCGCAGTGAAGTCAGTGTCAAATCTTCACTGACTTTAATTAGCAGGATCTGACCTCTATATAACATGGGGACATTTGCAATACAGGTTGGACCTCCCTTGTTCGGCACCCTCAGAACCTAACCAGACCCAAATGAAGGGATTTAATGGACCAGGGAGATCCTCCTCAACATGCCCCGCGTTGTCCTGCTGCCCCGGCTAGGGCTCCAGTTAGCCCCACTGCTGCCTGCCTAGCCGTGGTTGCCACTGGGATCGGAGCTCCACAGCCAAGGATAGGGCTCCTTGGATGCCACCAGGGCTGGAGCTCCACGGCTGGGCTGGAGTTCTGCCACTGCGGGAGCTCGGTAGTCGCCGCTCCCATCCCCGAGCTCCACAACCAGGGCTTTACCTCCTCTGCTGCCACTTCTGGCCCCCAAGCTCCATGGCTAGGGTCAGAGTTCTGCAGCTGCCATTGCTGGACCCCTGCTAGCACCTGGCCACAGGGGCCAGAAATCCCTGCTGCACCACCCGCCCCTTCACCACCTGGCTCCCAGATGAGTCTCCATGCCCTCCACCCCCCACCGCTCCTGCTCCGCAGCCCAACCTCCCTGTACCTTGGGCTCGATGGTCCAGGAACATCCACAGTCCGGATGTTGTCAGACCAGAGTGTCCCGGTTAAGGGACGCACAACAATATGAAAAGTTATATTTATATTTACTTCCTTATTTTAAAACTGGTCATTGATATGCAATATAACATACACAACATAATCATTAGTCGTTTTCAAGCTTAGAAAGAAAGGCAAGAATTACCTCAGCTCCTTGAAGAGCTTTGCTCTTTTCTCTTACTGAAAAATTAACACTGAGAGGTGTCCAAAGAGATCTCACTTCAACCGACAGCCATCCAAGGAGGAACAGTGCTGCCCTCACCCTGAAAACACAAAATATAGCAATGAATTTTAAAAATGTGGCTTTAGCAATAAAATGTTCCCATATATAAAATAATCCACCTTATGAAAACCTTACTTGGCATGTGATGATTTCCTGTCTAAAGGAGAATAAAAACTAGCAGAATACATGTCTAAAGCCCCCATTCTTAAAACCACCAGAAGACATGACAGTAACTGTCATGCTTAGGTCATGCCAGCTCTTTTTCTTCACTGTACATCTCAATTTTATTATTAGGATAATTATAATATTTTCAGTGGAGGAGTTGATTGATTAAAGTTACATGGAGAATCCATACAAATCAAAGCTGGCAAGACTGCTGTGGTGAAGCAAGAATCACTGTTTGGTGGTAATATGTCTATCCATAAAAATGCACATACACGAACTAAGGATGTAAGCAACTACTCAAGTAGATCACTACCTTAGGTTTATCAGGTACTCGAATCACTACTCAACTACTCACTTCCCCATGCTCCTGTATGAGTGCAGAGAGGGCAGGGGAGGTAGAGCCTTAGTCCCATCTCTCACTGCCCCCAGGCGCTAACTTTGCTGCAGCTCTGCATTTTAAATGTAGTAAGAGCCAGGCTGCCTGCATGCGCAGCTCCTACTACATTTAAACTGCAGAGCCGCAGCAAGGGCAGCGACCGCCCCCCCCCTTATCGACTAATCAAGTAGTTAATGGAAATTCAATCGACTACTCTATTAGTTAATTAACCACTACTTAATACCCCTAACAGCCACTAAAGTCTGCACTTGCATTTACAAAGCAAAAAATTGCATTCCTAGGTTCAGATCTTGCAATTCAAACTGTACTGACAATTACACCCACACATTGTCCTAAAGTCAATAGGGCTATGCCCTAGAGGTCTACTTGAGCTTAATTTTGAAGTCCAATCCAGACTCAAACCTGATCTGAGCAAGCTGACCCTAACCAAGCGTACCAAGACATTTTCAGACCCGACATAGAGCCTGACACTTGTAGTTGGGCCCTGACAGAGCTGGCTTAGGATGCAAGCCTCTACCCTACCCATTCAGTGACTGTAGTATCAGGTCCCTAATGCAAAAATATGAAGGCACTAATTTATTGTTGTCAGTACGTATATTTTTAAGCTTTCTAATTCACAGTAAAAATAAAGCTGAACAGAAATTTTAAAATTTACCCAGCTCTCTCTCTGCACTCCAATTTAAATGTGAACAGTCATTTAGAAATTCTGTGCTTTAATGTAAAGTTTTAATAAAGCAAAATCTTCAGAAAGTTTACAAAAAGGCTTTTAACAAGACCAGCAATTATTTAATGTCCCTCAAAAAATAAACAACAGGAACAAATATTCACACAGGAAGACCATTCAAAAAAGTCTGGCCTGGGTCTTACTTGAAAACCACAATCCTTTTTTAGAAGGATAAACTAAACTTATATATGTTCATAGAAAATCCATGTTTTAACTTATGGCATTCATTGGCTTCCCCCTACCTTCTCTTAGGTGATTATTGTTACCAGAGGCAACTGTACTGAAAACTAACAATAAATAATAAAAGAGGGCTATGACAAACTTACTTAGCCAGATCTATAAGGGAGCTAATCCTGCTCCAAGACTATACATTCTGGAACAATTCAATAGAAGACAATGGAACTGCTATAGATTCACACTATTGTAATTGGGAACAGAATATGATTCATCATATAATAAACAAAAACTATGTTTAGTGATAATTAAGGTTGCATCAGGACCCAACCCTTTCTATTTAACTGCTTGAAGGCATGCAAACACATTAAGAGACAAGCATGCATCATTCCACTTTCACAATGCCACTGGTAACATGTTATGCTGCAGAAAGTACTCACTTCCATCTGATAAAGCAGGGGCGGGCAAAACAGCATCCGCAGGCCAGATCCAGTCCACCAAGCCATTGGATCCGGCTCCCAGCCACCCTGCCCACACCCAGGCCAATTGAGGCCTGGGGACATGACAGAATGCAAAGTCTCCTCCTGCCCCCAGGGGCTTGCTCAACACCTAGAGGGAACCCCCAGCTGTTCAAAACAGCTGGCAGTTCTCTCTAGGCACCACACACCCCTGATAGTTAGTGCAGGCACAGGTTCTCTCTAGGCACCACACACCCCTGATAGTGCAGGCACAAGGAGCAAAAATTTCACATGCTCTTCCACCCTCAGGCCAATCAAGATCTGTGGGCGGGGGAACACGTGAAGCCTCCTGATCCCGCCCCGTCCCTTCCAGGCAGCCTGTAACTACTTCTGAAATTTGTGAGGTCACCCCTCCTTCAAAAATTATTGCCTACTCCTTTGATAAAGCAATCCATAACCCATCTTAATCTTACTCACTCTCTCATGCAAAAGCTTCATATTCTCATATCAAAAGATCAGCACTTCTGATTGTAACAGTCCATTCATTTGCAAAGCTATTCTAATTTCATACAGCTGAGATCACCATTAAAGTTTTGCATCAAAAGGAGTTGAACAAACAGCGTACTTAATGTTTTTTTTGGAAAGAGTTGACAATGAAATTGAAAGTCTAGCTACCCTACCTATTGAGGCCCTAATGTCCTTCAGCTCACGCAGTGGAAGCACAGGCTGTTAAACCCAGTAGCCAAGGTTTTATTGCAAATGACCCAGCTATGGATATTCTCACACATGGTATGTGTGTCACATTGGTTTGTGATGTCAGACAGACACATATCATTCTAGTATTAGTTACTAAGTGCCCACCACAGAAGCTTACCCCAAAGAACCAGAGGGTGACAATAATTCAAATTCCTATCTACATCTGTAAAGACTGAACTGCAATCTCTGGCTACAAAAGCATGGACCTAGTGCTAAAATTGAAGGACCATATCCAATAGCTCTCCTGACCAAGCACCTACAAGAGAATAAAGAGCCCAACTGTTATGGTGGGTTTGAATGGCATCTTCTAACGTCCTCGACAAGTGTTGGATTTCCCCCCTTCAAGTGCCCTAGAAAATCTGAGCAGTTCCTGAACTACAAGAAACTTTTGAAATTAATTCTCTCTCTCAAAACACAGGTTTTATAAAAGGTTTTAATCCCTGTTAAAAATAAAAATCTGGGAGCAAATTTAGCTATGGTGGCGCTACCTCATGGAACATTTTATTAACAAGCTAAGGCCCCAGTCCTACAGAATCTTATGCACATGCTTCAATTCAAAGTACTATTCACATGCTTGAAATTAAATGAATGTGAAGGTTTGCAGCACTAAACTGGATACCTATCCAGGGATGAAAGTAACTTAAATTTCTTACAAGTACTGTCATATTGCATTGTGGGGCTGAGAGCAGGGGACTGGAAGATGCAGAAGGTCTCAGGTCAGGGGACTGAGATGTGCAGGGGTCAGGATAGACAATTTTGGGAGTGGCAGTGGATGGATCAGGAGTGGGGCAGGCCCTGTCAGTTATCCTGCCCCTCGCTGCTCTTGTTCCTCCTGCCTGCAGGCAAGGCAAGGCAACCAGTGAAGACCTCCTGCCGCTCCCTTCCCCATCCCCGCCATCGGCAGTAGGCCAAAGAGAAGATGTGTGCCTGTGCTGCTTCCAGCCAGTGCAGGGAGAGCAGGATAGGCTGGGAGATCCACACTGCTGGCAGGAGCCCAACAGGGAGCCTGCGCACCTATACCTGCAGTGTCCCCCCAGCCAGCCACTTTCTTACTGAAATGGCTCCCCAGAGTGCACCGGCCTACTTTCTCCTACGACTGCATATTGTATCTAAGAAAAGGAGAGGGGAGAGGGAATAATTTTCCGATGTCCAAAACAGACCAGTTGCACTACTTTGGTTTTGAACAGGATGTACTGATTTAAATCAAGGCAATTTAAGTCACCAGTTTAAATCACCAAGTGGAGAGCATCAATTTAAATCAATTTCTATTGGTACTTCAGTTAGTGCCTAAAGAAAGGTGCAGTCCCCTAACCATTAAAACTAGTTGATTTACAACTAACCAGAGCCTTAACATGAGATTTGCTACAGCCTTTTACTACCTAAGGCTATGTCTACACAGAAAAGTTATTTCAAAATAATGGCCCTTATTTTGAAATAACTTTCCTAGCATCTACACAGCCAAACGGTTATTTTGAAATTAAATCGAAATAGCAGAGCGCTTATTTCGAATTTGGTAAACCTCATTCTACAAGGAATAATGCCAAATTCAAAACAGCTAATTTGAAATAAGCGCTGTGTAGACGCTTATTTCAAAATAGGGGGCCTCCAGCCCTTACCAGAGTGCCCTGGTGGCCACTCTGGGCACCCCCTCCCCAGAGCCCTTAAAGGGGTTGACGCTGGCCACAGTGCCTGTGCCAGCTCCAAGCCTGCCACCTCAGAGCCAGCAGTCGCTGCCCCGACCCAGTAGCTCCACCATCAGCCAGGCAGCCAGTGCCAGCCAGCCCTCCACTGCTCCCCAGGCCCAGTCCCCCAGCTCCCAGGAGCCAGAGAAGGCAGGCGCCTTCGTGGTCTAGTGTGGAGATCGTGAACCTCATTGACGTTTGGGGGGAGGCCTCCAATGTCCACAGTCTCCACACTAGACAGAGGAAAACGGCCGTCTACAGACAGATAGCTGCCAGCCTGGCCACCAAAGGCCACATGCGCACCCAGAAGCAGGTGCACATGAAAATAAAAGAGCTGCGGCAGGCTTATGCCATGGCCACAGGGGGCAGCTCCCAAACAGGGGCAGACACTTGCCCCTATTTTGACACCCTGGACCGCATCCTGGGGGGTTGGATGGTCCATGCCACCTCAGGGGTCATCAGTCCTGGAGCAGAGGGCCCTGACCAGAGCATGGAGCAGACCTCTCACCAGTGTCATCCGAGGAGGTAACAACATGTGAGTGCCATCACTGTCCCCTTATTGAGGGGCAGGGAGGGAGATCAGGGATCGCACACATGGAGGGGGAAGGCAGGGGGAGAGGCGGGGAGGGAGACCAGGGACCACGCGTGTGGGCCATTCCTCCCATGGATCATGCAGCCACCTGTGCACGTGTGAACATGTGCCATGCCACCATTGGGCAGGTGGCTCCAGCTGCGTGACACCCAGGGGCTGTGACCCAATAGGCACACGCATGTGTGAAGAGACCTGACACGCTCCCGACCCCTGGGCGGGACCCAGCAGGACGTCCTCCCTTCACACACCCCCTCTACACAGAGGCAGGGGACATCTCCCCCGTGCCTCGGCTGCACTATACACAGCACAGGGGCATGGGTGCGGTCTTGGGGCAGCTCCCACTCCCGGGGAGAGCCAGACATTCTGAACATGGCCTCTGTGCAAGCACATCGAGTCTGACGGTCATCCTTACCTTGCAGAGGGGGGCTGGGCTTCATCCACTGTGTTCCCAGGGATAACTGACCACTTCTCTTGTTTCTCCACAGCCGCACCAGCTGCGCGTGCAGGGCGCACCACCTCACCTGGGACATGCTCCTGCACCTGAGGGCTCCGCAGGCCCACCCGTGCAGTGCAGGGGTACAGACAGCAGCACCTGGGAGCACTGCGAGCTCTGCACCACACCCTTCAGAACTGGCTGCAAGAGGACCTGGAGCTCCAGCGGGAGCAGCTTGCCCAGGGCCATTCCATCTGCCAACACTTGCAGGGCCTGGTGCAGAGCGTGCTGCCTCCTGCCGCTCCAGCGCCTGCTGCCTCCCCAGCTACCGCTCCTCCTCCCACTCCTTCTCCCCCTCCCCCTTCTCCTGCCACCTCCTCCACACCCTCCATCCCCTTCCTATCCCCCCGGGGATGCCGAGGCCCCCACATCTGCGGTGCTAGGAGACGGTTTTCCCAGCGAGACCCCCACCGCTGAGCCTCCCCTCCCCCTTGCTTCCCCATTCCAGCTCCCTCCTTCCAGGTCCCTCCCCCCTCCTTTCTCCAGTCTCTCCAAGTTTCATTCCCCTCCCCACCAGTTTTGTTAAATAAAGACAGTTCGTGTATTTTATTTGACATCATCGAGGTAGACAAGCAAGCAAGGAAACCTGAGAACTGGCTGTCTAGGAGGGTGGGGGGGGAGCCTTTAAGCACAGACTTCAGTTAGCCTCAGGCAGCAGCCATACAAGGTAAGTCCTGACCTGGTGCCCGGCCGGAACTGGTTCCGGCCGGCCTTAAATGCAATTCAGTCCACTCAGCGTGGACGCGCTATTTTGAAATAGAAAAACGCTATTTCGAAATGCATTTTGTGTGTAGGCGCGTTATTTTAAAATAACTTATTTCGAATTAACTATTTTGAAATAAGATATTTCAAAATAATGCTGTAGTGCAGACATAGCTTAAGAGTGTACACTATAACTATTAATATTCATTTAAGCAGTTATATAGCCTAGAATTTTCAGATTTGTATTAATTGTACTTTTTAGTATGTTAAAAAATGGTATGTTGCTTATTTTTGACAAGATGCATTTAGATAGTAACTTAAATATCAAATTGGATCCTACCACAGCAATATTTGATAAACTGGTTACCATCCATTCAGTAGGTTATCTAGAAGATTGCATCAACAACTAATAACTGGACCTACAGTAGCTACTGGTAAGGTAAACCTCAAGAGCACTGCACACAGCTTGTTAAGCCACAGATGGTTTTGACATCATAAATCCAGTGTGTGCTCACAATGGTTCTGCTCAATACAATGAAGCTCAGAAGCTAGCAGTCCTGCCTCCTACTCAGTAAAAAGTACCAAACATCGACAATCAGCAGCAAAGTAACCTATAACATGAATACACAGTATTGTGTAGAAACTAATTATACGGAGAGCCCACTTGTAATGTCATTAAACCAACTTCCTGTTTTACCCCTCATTTATGCAAAACTTTGGGACACACTATAACAATGCCTACCATAATTTCTCAAAGCAACTGTTACCTACAGAGAATCTGAATACCAGAATGAAAATTAAACTTATGCATAAGTTTTAAATGTACATATTAATCTGCTTACTTTAAATTTAAAACCAGTAGTACAGGGGTTCTCAAACTTTACTGCACCACAACCCCCTTCTGACTATAAAATTACTACATGGCCTCCGGGGGTGGAACCGAAGACTGAGTCGGGATGTAACCGACTAGTCGGATAGTCGACAGGATAGCTGACCAGTCGCTCCCCACACCCCCTGCCTTGCTACCTCTATCAGACAGAGGCAGCGGGTGGGGGTAGGAAGAGGGAGGTACTTAAAAGTGGCAGCGCCACATGGAGCCCGGTGTCGGCTGCTCCATGTGGCGCTCCTGCTCTGAATGCCGCGGGGAGCCTAGCATCAGTATCCTCGTGGCATTTCAAAGCAGCAGCACCACGTGGAGCCCGGGATCAGCTGGGGACTCTCCAGCTGACCACGAGTGCCACTTGGAGCCCGGTATCACCTGGGACTCGCCACTGGCTCCGGGCTCCATGCTGCTCTTCCTCTTTGAAATGTACAAGAGCTCCCAGAGGAGGCTTTTGTGCATTTCAAAGAGGAAGAGCAGCTTGGAGCCTGGGGCCAGCATGGGACTGAGTCCCTCACTAACTCCAGGGTCCATGCAGCGCTTCCACTTTGAAATGCACAAGCGCCCCCATTGGGGCTTTTGTACATTTCAAAAGCGGAAATTCCAGCTACTACTTGACTAGCAAATTAATCGCTACTTAACATCCCTAAGCCTGAACATATCCAAGTTTTGGCACTCTGGAGAGCAAGGTGGGAGGGACATTTAAGCCAAAGCCCAAGACTCACTGGCCTGGGCAGGAGGTGCCAAAGTCCAAAAGCTTCAGCCCCAGACAAGGGCCTGTAACTTGAGCCTCACATCCAAGGCATATGCCCTCGAGCTCTAGCCCTGAAGGCCACATGATTTGGCTCAGGCTTTGCCCCTGGACTCCAGCAAGTCTAAGCCAGCCGTGGCAACCCACTAAAATGGGCTTGTGACTCATTTGAGAGTTTCAACCCACAGTTTGAAAATTACTGCATTACTAAACAGAAAAAAGACACACATTCAGACTAGCAGTGACATGCAGAAAGCAAAACTAGCCTTGAATAACCTTATACATGAGGGGATCTTGAAATAAAGATTTTGAACACCTGGCTAGAGGTGACTTTGAAAGCATTGCTTGTTTTACAAGGGATATTAGTTTTACTTGTACCCATTGTACTTTGTCACTCATGCAGTTTGTTAAGATGCTGTAAATCACATATAAAGGCCCTCACCACTGCTTCATATATCAATCTGGCAAGTTTCTCCTTGACTATAATTATCACCTAGGCAACAAGTGGACACCTGTTGACTAACATAAAATGGCTAATATACAATATATATTATGCAGATAATGCTACTCCCAACAAATATTCCAAACCTTTAAGTATGCATATCATCAAGTACCAATATGGCATTTATATAGCTCAGATTTTATTATAATCCTGTTAATTAATGCTAAGTATCCTATAATGTCTTGCATAAACTCAAGTAAATTTTGGTTTAAGTAGACAGGAAAACTGTATCAGGACATATTACTATTTTCTCATAGCAAAAGAAACATAGTTAGATAAATAAATAGTTGCCTAGGGAGGCTGTGGAATCTCCATCTCTGGAGACATTTAAGAGCAGGTTAGACAAACATGTCTCAGGGATGGTCTAGACCAATATTTCCCAATTTTATTTGGCCATGGAACCCTTTTCAGCTTTTCAGAATTTCAAGGAACCCCTAGGCTTGTCCAAAAAAAAAAAAAAAAAAGGAACCCACCAATGCATGAATCCTTCCCCAAGACCCCTTCCTTGAGGCTTCATCCTCTCTGTTCCCCTTCTCTCCATCAGTGGTTATCCCCAGTCCTTACACTCTCTCACTGGCTTGAGACAGGAGGTGCAGGCTCTGGGGTGGGAATGAGGGATTTGGGTGTGGGAAGGGGTGAGAAGTACAAGCTCTGGGAGGGAATTTGGATGCAGGAGAAGGGGATGTTGGCTCGGGGAGGGGGCTCCAGGCTGGGAAGTGTTGGGCTCAGGTAGAAGGTTGGGGTGCTGAGCAAGCCTTGGGCTTGTGGATGTGAGGGTGCAGGAGTTTGGGCTGGATATGTGAGGGACTCAGGGCAAGGAGGCTGTGAGTATGATGGGCTCAGGGTGCTGGGGACAGTGCTGGTGGGGACAGGGTACTCATGAGGGGTGTGGGCAAGGGACAGGGGCAGCTGGGACCAGTACCTGGCAATCCTGCAGCACCTCTGGGTTCCAGGAAGTGTGCGACTTCACTTCCCTTCCCCAAACAGCTGGCATGTGCACTGCCTGAACAGCAGGGGCTGTTGCACTCCAGCAACTTACTTCCGTGATGCCATCCTGCGGGGGGGGTCGTGCGAGGAGTCCCAGGGTAGAGAGCACTGCCTGCAGTCGAAGCTGTGCATACCCAGATCTCCTGACCTTCCCTCTCCCCCCCTGCACAGAAAGGCTGTGGAACTAAGTTACCCAGTGCCACAGCCCCAGCTGTTCAGGCAGCACGCGCTGGCTCCTTTGGGGAGGGTAAGTGCTTCCCTCCCCGCTGTGGGTCACATGGGATCTCCCCTGTCTGGCATCCCCCTAATGTGCCAGCTGGGAGCAACTGTTCCCCTCTGCTCCCGCCTCGCTATGTCTCTGTGTTGCCAGGGAGGAAGGGGAAACAAGTGTGAACCTTCTTTAAGAAGCTGGCTAGCCAGCGCTCTCTTTCAAAGGGGGCGAGGGAGTGCCAGTTCCTCACAGAACCTCTACTTTTGCTTCGCAGAACCCCAGGGTTCTGCGGAGCACCAACTGGGAAACACTGGTCTAGACCAAGGCTACTCAACATGTGGCCCATAGGCCACATGCAGCCCACAGCCAGTTTGTTTACAGACCACAGTGCAGTTTGGGTTTACGCAGGGCTCAACATATGGCTCACGGGTGGGAACCAAAACAAAAGAGTAGTCAATATAATGGTTTTCTGTTGATTCGTGCTTTAGTAGTTAAATTCCTCGACTGTCATTGCTCATTAAAAGTGCTGTCATATGGGTGAAAAATCGGGTAAATATTGCCAGTGCTTGACAAATCAGTGAATCTACTCGCCCGTGGCGAGCAGATTTCAGCCTGGCGCCCTGTTCACCGGTGGCGCGCACATGCGCAATGCGGGTCTTGCGCATGCGCAGTCCAGGTCTGGCGACTAGATTTCGCCACCATTTGTCATGCCCTGAATATTGCATTTTATTAATATCAACTGAACTGACCTAAATGGGGCCTGTGTGTTGTGTAGTCTTGCTTTAATCTTTCTATTTATGCCCATCAATGTGAAAGAAGCTATTTGTGTATATTTGCATATATATTTGCATGTATATGCAACCACACTTAAGTTGTGGCCCTCGGCATGTGCTGTGTGTACCACTGTGGCCCCCAGGGCTTCCAAAGTTGAGTAGCCCTTGTCTAGACAATACTGGGTCCTGTCGTGAGGGCTGGGGACTGGACTCGATGACCTCTTAGGTCCCTTCCAGTTCTAGTGTTCTATGATTCTATCCTGATACATGTATAAAAGGTGTCTTTATGCCCCATAATATCTGGAGTGTATATGCTCAGAACAAAGATAAAGGTGCTTTGTGACCCGTAATGAATGGATTAAAAAAAGGATAAAGGGCTACACCAGGATACTGGAAACAAAGCTAAAAAAACTAATTAATTCCAGTTTCAGGTGATGTTTACTGATAAACGAGTATAAAAAGATGGCTTTAAAAATGCAACTACAGAGAACACACACCTTATAAGGTGAATGTTACATTGCTGCATGGGGTATCATATTGCTCCATGGGGTATCAAAGACTGGGTATCATACTGACTGCTCTTCGGAGACTGAGGTATCATATAGAACTTTTTTCCTGCAGTATATTAATAAAACTGACTGACATTTGTTATTATGCCTCAAGTATATTTCATAACAAACCAAAGTGTAGTCAAGTAATTATCAAAAATATAAAGTGTATTTTTAAAAAGAAAAAATGACCTTAAAATGTTTTGATATGAGAAGTTTATGCATCCAAAACATGTTTCACATTCACAACTCAATTATAAGCTAAAGAGAGGAATTAACTGTAGTCAGTGACTTGAACTAATTATCCAGGGTAGCTTGGGAAAAATTTCAAATATGCCTTAGTGAAAGTGACTGAAGCTGAAATGCCTAGTTTCACCTAAATCTTTTTGAAACGATAGACTGACCTACTGGAGCACACTGACAAAGCTTGACCTCAAAAATTAGGTAACTTTCCTGATTTTTTCCTTACTTGGAAAAAGCAGCCTTTAATGCAAAGTTTTTGCGCTCATGGATTCAACATATTTTTATTTAAATATTTTAAGAGATTATAATAAATTTATTTATTACCATGTTTTATAAAAATTTCAGATTTTATTTTAAGCAGATTTTTAAAAAGAAAAATCTACTTTAAATAAAATAATCTAATCTAATTTAAATAAAAATCTGATATCTGTATCTCCCTGTTTTTGAAACCACTTTCTTTATACAATCCTGTAAGCTTCATATGCCATTAAACACAAGTCGTTAAACTTAAGACAACCAAACCATTTTCAAGTGTGTACACAAACAGAAAATGCAAAACCCTCTATGTTAAATATAACAGGATGACAAATGTGTCAAGGGTTTCAGTTA